GGTGTGCGTCACTTAAGAAGTTTTGTAGACTCAAAGTTTTACTCATTCAGTTTTTCCCAAGCGTGATCGGTCATATTTTTGCTTGTGTATGTTAAAGGCAATTTCGCCTCAGTGTAGAAGATTTTTATCACCAATGTATGCTTCTCAGTAAGTTTCTATTTTATGTAAGCCCTACAAGCTTTATGATCCCTGTATCAAATTTCTGCTAACATAAGTTTTTGGTCAGTAAAACAGTTCCAAAGTATTCGAAGGTCAAATTTTTCCAAGATCAGATCAGTCATTTCAACTCAAGATAATCTGTTAAAGGTCAACTATTTAAAAGTTATTAAACTCAGACAAGATCGAATAGTGGTCACAAACTAATGAATTAGTGGGCATTTTGCATGGGTCTGCCAACAGGGGGTACAGGGTTTCAACATTGACAAAACCAAGCGGTGAGCTGGCAAAATTTGCGGGCAAAGAATTAATGGAAGTAGAGATCAAAGAGTGCCATGATGCGGCGAAGAGCTACATTTTGCACGATGTGCTGTTTGTGCCAGCTACAGCGTACACTTGATCAGTATGAGCTCTGCGGTGGCTTGAGCATCAAGCTGCAGTTTAGCAACAGATGCTTCTCTGCTACTGGCACCAGTAGTAGACAGCTACCTGTGAAGCACCATGGCGAGTTCTTCTTTCTGGAGGGTAACCGTTGAAGCACGGGTCTGTGCTGGTTTGGGTAGATGACATAAATTTAAGAAGTCTGCTCAAAAATGTCAAGACGAGGGGCCGTTTCTACGAACGATTCAAGATGGATGACAGAGGCTCATTGTCCTCGTTCCTGGGAATGCAAACCAAGCATTCACTTGTGACGGTAACTGCGAATCAATCATGCTGCATCGACGAATGGTAGGAGGGCTTTGACTTAGCTAGCTCGCGAGTACAGCAGCGGATATCTGCACACAACTGTTATAGAAAGACTGCCCTAAAGCTGGGTCAGCAGAGGCATTGTCCTTGAAGGTTGAGAGCTATAAAGATTTTGTGCACTCTTTATTGTACATTGCTAAGGAAAGAAGGCCGGATATCCTAGCTATTGCGACTCAACTCTCCCGCTTCTGGGGAAATCCGAGCAGAGCGCAATGAGTGGTTGCAAAAAGGCTTCATTGGTACCTAGAATGAGCAAAGATTTGAAGGGGGCGCTACACCAAGTATACTGAATGTGTACAACTTTATGAATCCGCAGATGCTGACAGGGCAAGAGACGTGGATGATAGAAGGTCAACTACTGCATACAGCCTCCCTTTACAGAAGACAGGGGCAGCTATCAGCTGATCAGTAGGAAGCAACCAAGTGCAGCCATATCCAACAATGAAGCTGAGTGTCAAGCGATGACAGATGCGGTCCAAGAGGCTCTATGCTTACGATCACTTCTCAATGAGGTGAGTGTGAGAGACCGACCAACAGACATCATGGAGAGCCACCAGAGCTACATCAAGATGTACAACAATCCTATCATGCATAAGCGAACAAAGCACATCGATGTAAAGTACTTATTTGTTTGAGAACGAGTTGACGATGAGACAGTCTAACTCTAGTATTTTCCTGCCGAGATCATGGAAGCCGACTTGGTATCGAAAGACCTGAGGATGGCTAGGTGGATCAACAATGTCGAATATTGATAAGCTACTGCCTGACTTAGACAAATTCAAGATTGTCGATAAAATTTTTCAAGATTTGGTTTTTAAAGAAAATCTTTGATTGTTTATGCTCCGGGTGTTTTTTCAGACTAAGACTAATTTCGGTAATGGAAACAATAGTTGCAAATTTTTTTGAAACTTTGACACCTCTGATTGTTTTTTTTACATTATAGGGCTTGAAATAGGTCAATTTGCTGGATTCATGTTACGCGCTTTTCATCCAGATATCTCTAATATTCAAAGCGCGATTAGTGGATGATGAGTAAACCAATCCGCGCTCAAATAATTTATGCGCAAGTTTGTTGCTCTCATTAACTTTCTAGTAGACTCAAAGGATCTCTTCAACTATTCTCACCCTCTTTGAACAAATTCAAGGGTTAAGCATAGGTGAGTTTTGTACTTTGATTCTTTCATAATTTTTATCGCATTTTTTTCCCAGAAAAATGGAGAACAGTTTAAGTGCGTTCAGGGCAGAAGTGCAAATTTTTTTGGTTAAATTGTTTTCATCCGTTTTTTTGGAATGATTTTGAAAGTAGATTAACTCGATGAAGTGGTATAGAACGCACATAAATTAGTCCGGTCAGGCAATTTTTAAAACTCTGAAAACCCTACAAAAAATAGCATCAAATGAAAAGAGTTAATGTTTTTCATTTTGATCTCAGTGCTTCAAATTCTTCAATATGACGCGAAAAAAGGCCTGTCGTTCCCCACGGCCGTTCGTCAATTTTGTTCTGAAAAAAAAACAACTATGAAATGAAAAAATGATTTCTACCGCATTAGAAATTGTGTGTGCCGCATTCGACGAATCGTCTTAAGAATAATGTGCAAAAAGAAAGTTAAAACTAGTTGGAATACTAGCCCGATTCTTAAGCTGATTGTTCACTGCAATGACTTCTTCTATTTCCTTATTCGGCTCTGCGGTTATTCTCAATTCAGGATTATTTTCATTTCCGTACAATTCAAGGTCGTTGAACTTAACAGAATTGGCTGTCGAAGCGAAGTTAGCCGAAATAGGCTGCATTCCTGTTTCGTCAATTGAGCCCCAATTCACGGTATCTCTGTTATTGGTTGAAGTTGTCCGAACACTACTGGATTTGCGAGAGTTGTCAGAAATAATGCTGGTTCTAGACGAGGGACGCTTTTCCGACGACATTTTTCTTTGTTCGGTTAAAATTTCAAAAATAGTTTTTGTGAATTGAAATTGGAGGATATGATAGCGTGTACCAATGGGATCCTAAATTTAAAAGTAGGATACTTTAAATGAAATCATTTCAAAATCTGGATTGGTTATTTCTAACTTTCTTATGGTACACCTCTAGCCTCTAGTGTTCTAGGGTCACCTTTTACTCGTTGTAGTTCCTCTGTGTCATTTGAAATTTTCTGCAAATAAGATAATAAAATTGAGCTGATGTCGCCATAGCTCTCAAACTAATACAGCGTTGATTAGAAAAGAGGCTTCAAATGCAAGGCTGAAGCAGACACTCATTTGTCATGAAGAGAAGAAGTCTTTAGAAGCTTGAAACTATTCTCTGAGTTAAGTAGTTATGTCAAACAGTTATTTTTTTATCAGCGACCCCATTTGATGGGCTGCGTTGTTCCAATACTTGGCCTCAAGACAACGGACTATTGGATTACAATCGGAAAATAAGAAAGACTGAATACCATTTTTGTGAAACAGTTTTTTTCAGCAAAATCTCGTTGTTATCGCTCCAAAATGCCACTCATTGTAGATGTTGCCACTCAATTGTTTTTTTTTGTTGTCATAGGTCTCAAAAATTATCGCCAACTTAAAAAAAATGAAAGGATTCTTGGACATGAACATTATAGCATGGATGTTAAAAACGCCATACTTCTTTCTAAACCGTCAGATCGGCTTGAGACATATTGAGGTATAAAAGGAATGTTTTTGTCACACTGAAATTAATTCGAGGTACAAAAAGAAATAGGATGATTTGTTTTGCTTTTGATGACCGCGGCCTCAAGTTTTCTTCGAGATAGTTACAAAGACAGTTACGATTCGAAGATAGTTTTTTTCGGGTATGTTGTTACAGTGTAGCTTCTGCGATTCAATTCATTTCTAGCGCTTTAGTGGATGGTAGGTATTCAAGATTACAAAGATTTTTTTGACTCAATGAATAGCTGCGTAGACTCACTATTCATCAATTATATATAGTTTTATTAAGAGTCGATGAACGTTGTGAATTCTCTTATATAGGTCTTGCTGGTTTTTTGGCGTTATTTTTTTCAGGAAAATGTTTTAAAATGCTCTAATAACTACAAATGTGCATTCATTATTGATGCATTTATGGATGCACTTAAGTATTTATGCACTTTTTGAGTTCAATTTAAGTTCATCTTCTGAAAGTTAAGTAAATTGCGCCCTCCATTTACAAACATAAAAATTTCTCAAAAACTTGAATGAGTTCTAGTTTCGAAAGTGGAATTTAATTTTTAGATTTCCCATAGCCAATCATAAATTTTTACTTGGAAGCTCGAAAAAGTTAGTTTTTTTTTGCAAAATTAAGTCAGTTTTTTTGTTTCCTTGCGTTCATTTTCTCATTTCCCACTGTCTGTTGGCTATATTTGCTTTTGAACCAGCTGCGAGGTGACAATTCATTTCTTGATTTTTAAATATTTGTTTCATTTCTGCTATTTCTGGTCGGTTTTCTCTATAATTTTTGAATGTTACCTAAATGCTCATAACGAAGCAAAATATTGCTGTACAGCGCTCTTTTGCCGTTTCGAGATTGAGAAATTTGTGAATTTACTTTTATTTTATACAATGTTTTCTGATTTTTTTTTCATATTTTACAACAACTCATGTTTGTAACAGTTGAAATTTAAGCTTTATTGAAAATTCTGACTTGTTTTCGGTAAATATGCGTTGTGAATGTCAACTGTTGCTTAACATCTTTTCTGATTAGTAATGCTTGCGAAAACTGTTGGTTGAGAAATTCATAGACTAAGCAATTTTCTACTCAATGTTTTTGTAAAGCAATCGAAGCTTTTGCGTCGGTTTGCTTCATAAATTTGCAGTACCGCGTTTCCTGTTATATCGCGAAATCTCAAAGTTAATGATCTAATTGCTGCAGGAAGAATGCTTTTTTTGAATATTGAAACACAAACTGCGCGATTCAACTGAGGAAGTATGGCAAAGCTCTTCTTCAAAAATGTTTTGTATCTGCTTCTAAAAATTTTTTTGTTGTTTATTGACTGTCAAGTTAAGTGTTTTTTTTTCTGTGATGTGATATGTATTTTTTTAAATCAGAAGAAAGTATAATAGAAATTTCATGATTTTATGAGTTGGTCAAAAAATAACATTAACAGGTACTGTGGAGACAAAGTGGCAGGGGTCTCGCTTCTGTCCGACTCAGTAATGCGGCTCGTCAACCAATCAGATAGCAGCAAATATATCACTTTATTACTCCCACGGCTGTCGCTTTACGTGTTGGCTCACGAGTTTAGATACGATTACACTCACGAGATACTTTCGGATGAAATGTCGTTTTTCGGAGACGAATACGTGAAGAGAGATCGACGAGTTTCAATGGTGTGTAGAAGTGAACCTTCGCCTTTGTCGAAATAACCGTTTATGATTTTGAAATATGACAGACGATCAGCCATAGAAGCCAAAAAAACTATTTTGACCGAAATTCACCCAGCTTTTGAACAATGCGCTAGCTCAAAAGTTTAAATTGATACTATTTGCCTTAATTGATGATGCAAAATTAATATTTATAATCGATAGTTTAAGTATTTAGGCGGAGAAATTATATTTGACATGAAAACAGAAGTTGCTTGGTGTTGATATCGGAGTCATAATAAATAAGAAATTACTTTTTGGAGTTCAGTTAAGTTACTTGTATCATTTTAGTTTTTGTAGCTGTTTTTATTTCAGATTTTTGAAACATTGGTGTTAGAAGTAAGCTCTTTTCTACTCCCCCCCCCCTCACCATTCTGATTTCATAACTGTTTTATTTTTCACAATAGTTAATTAGTGAATTTGTAAAAAAACTTTTCACCATAGTTAATTTGTTTACCCTGCTAAGTTTCATTACATTATGACAACGTTAAACCAGTTCTTCAATATTGAAATTCAAAAGTGAGGGGCAATGGAAAAGAGCTTTAGAGAATTGTCAGTTGATACGAAAGGTTTGCTTCCATGGTTGTCGAGGTCAGTCAATAGATGGTTTTGTGAATGGATGATCAGTACAGTATAAATGTGGACTGTTCTAAGCTGTGTGGGGACATAGTGGACTTGAATGAGAGATTCAGCAATGCAATTTACAATGGGTGCTTCCAACATGCCATTGAGTGAGTGTGAGTTTTTATTCAGGTTGATTGATTTAGAATTTTGAGTTGTTAGGTTTTTCAATGTGAAACCCAATTAGATAAATTCTGGCACGATTTAATGAAGTCTTGAAGGTGTAATTACTAGACGCGCATTTACTTCTTTTTTTTTAAAAAAGTAAATTTTGGGTCTATGTCCCGCGTAACTACTACTAATGCGTTTTTTCCGTTTTCCCATTGTGGCGGGGTTGGACATCCGGAGTGTGCGTAAAAATAGTTCAGATGAGGGCATTTTGAATAGCATTCAATTTTAAATTGAAGTTGTATTCAGGTCTCGTTTAACTCAATCGATCCAGCGTTTTTAGGTCTTCCTGCTGGTCTTTTGCCTGGGATTAAAACATGGTTTGTAGTTTTAAGCGCATGATGGTTTTCCGTTTGATGAACATGGCAAAAACATCGCTACAGCGAACGCACTTGTAACTGGTCCAGATCAACAATACTTGTCATTTTAATAACTGTTTTGTTGGTAACTCTGTCTTTTTAAGTGACTCCTGTAATCCTACGCAGAGCTTTCATATCAGCGCTCTTAAGAGGGCTCGATATTGCCTTGGTCTGCGCCCAGGTTTGAGAGCAGTACATCAGAACTGGCCGGAGACAAGCTCCGTAGATATGACACCTGGTAATCAAGTCAATATCTTTATTCAGCAGCAGAGGCTCAATTTGCCGCCATTTTGTCCGATAAACTGCCCTTCTGGCCGATGTTGCACATATTGCGTCACTTTCAAGGGAAATCATATCACCCAGATAGCAGAACTCTTTGAAATTACTCAGGGTACCAAATGATTGATCCGTAGACTAGCATTCTGATTTGAGTGATAATTGAAAGGATTATTGCCTATTGGATAAACATAATCAGTTTTATTGGTAGGTATTTTCCTCAGGCTACCGCACTTTTTTGCACCCATTGATTACAAGAATTGCAGCGTATCGAATTGTCGCCGAATCCCTTTAAACAACTAGTGCCTGGATATTTTCCAATTTTATGAAGAAAACATTTTTGGTCTGAAATCAAATGCTTTGTCTTATCACGTTGATTTTTAAACAGCGTTTTCGCCAAGCCTTGTTCCAAGTATTAAACTTCTCAATAGACTGGGATTCCGTTTCAGCGGACATCACATAGTCATCTGTATACAGCATATCCCATGGTCTCGTGGAACGACAGTTTCTCGTAGCCTCTCCATTAGTATGATAAATAACAATGGGCTAAGTGCCGATCCCTGATGCACGCATACTCTAAATTCGTACTGATCACTTCATGCTTGGGGCGAGTGAACTCCGGTTTTCGACTCGGTGTACAGAGACATAATTTGTCGTACCGGGTTTTTGGGAACTGTTGTGTTATCATTTCCCTGGAAACACGGTCGAAGGTTTTTCGCGATCAACAAATATATGATGCAGGGGATTTTTCTGTTTCGCAAATAGTTCCTTCAATTGTCTAAAACCAAAAACGTCATCGGTTGTTGATCTACCATCCATTAAGCCCAATTGCATATCATCTATCTTATTTATTGTCTCAGATGTTTTTCTAGTACTTTTCGAAAATTTTAAATGCGTGTTTCAGCAATCGGATGCCTCTGTAGGATCCACATTCTGATGGATCGCCTTTTCCTTTGTAAAAAGTAATTGTTTCATTTTTGCTCCAGTCGGAGGGGATAAGACCAGAGTCCCACAAAGTCCAGCAACTCCACAATCTCCCCAAATTTTTTTCATGTTCGAAGTTAGCCCTGTTGGTCTTGGGCTATTCTTTTTTAAATCGCTCTCAGTGCAGGTGCCCTTCATGGATACTAAATTCCTCCAATGAGCCAGCCACTGAGGGATATCTTCAGTTTCAAACTAAAAGATATATATCTTCCGTTTCATTTTAAAAATTTGATTTGAGATGTAGCTTTGCCTTTGCGAGCGAACATCTTGGTCACAAGTCAGGATTTTTTAATCACATTTTTTGAATTTTGCTCCAACCACCTTTTGATCATTTTTCATTTGCTTGGTTTTAGTGAGATCTTGACACCATTTCTGGATGGACTCTTTTAAGCTTCAGCTAATAGCTGTTTCACGAATGTGTTCTGCCTCTGATATATCACCCGGTCTTCTTTTCGAGACTTCTGCCACTTTTTGAACAATAATTTTTTTTTCAAGTCTTTCACTTGTTTTTTTTTGCTTCACTACCATGTTTTTCTTTCGCTCGCCTGTCTCTCGCTGATTTTTCGGTTGTTTCGCCACAAACGTGTTTCGCTGCTTCTAAAAAAAGTGTTGATTTTAAATTTTCTAGCTTCTTTCTCATTGCCTCTTCCTACTTGATTTGGTTTTCTCTATCATTAAACTTCCACGATTTTATTCTTCCAAATGGCTTTGACGTATGGTGGTAAATAGGAACTATTAAGATAGAAATTACACACAACAAGTCTGTGCTGAGTACCACATTCTTCGCCCTTGATAATCTTCAAGTTTTTGACACAACTTCTTTGCGACGATCGTGTTAGAATGAAATCAATCGGGGCGGAGTTTTCTCCAATCTGAAACGTACAGTGATCATCTTCGCAGCGTTTTTTTTGAGAAAAATGTTTAGGTTGGTTAGATTTTATGACTGACAGAAATTGAGAAATCTCCGACCTTCTGAGTTTAGATTACCAAAGCGGAATAGGCCAATTGCGCAGTCAAATTCCTGGCGCCGCACTTCAATATGTTCATTCAGAGGAAAGTTTATTTTTGGTCAGGTAGAGATATCATGGAATATTCTAGCGTGCTATAAAAATCTCTTTTTTCGGAATCCTCTCTACCAGCTTGTGGTGCGTACACTGATAGAACATTACTCACAGTATGCCCTATTACAATTTTTAGGCGCACTTTACATTCATTTACTCTACCGATTTCCAGTACCTTTTCAATAAGTCGACCTTTGATGGCTATTGACACACCATTTGTGCCTTCTGAGTTTCCTTGCCGGAAAAACTTAAATTTGTGGTCGCCATCTCCAAAACTTCTTGTGCTGCTTCCTTTGATACGACTTTCTTGTAGACAGTACACGGATAGCTTTCTTCTTTCTCGAGTTTCGCATATCTCAAGGCATTTTCCTTTTAGTGTGCCAACCTTCCCTGAGCATAGTCGGAACAACGTCTTTTCTACGGTGGGTTTTTTCGTCTTATAAGTTTTAGTATTCGTCATTTTAGTAGTTCAAACTGGGATTTTTAGTACCTCATTGCTTGTTTGACTGTCCATGAATTGTTTGGAGCGGTGCGCGTTACAGAGCTTTTTCAGACCGAAGTCATTAGGGACCGGATGCCCTTCCTGACGTCCACCCTCCTCCTTCTTTCGGGTTTTGGACCGGCAGTTGTATCTAAATAGCAAGACAGACCAGGCGGAGCTTATGTCCCGCGTAAAACAGATAAACAGCTTTTTTCTGGTACTAAAATGCAGGTGATGGTTTATGTGGTATGAGCTTGTTTTCATCAGGAATTTTCAACATTTTTTGGATGGGCCCTGCTATCTTGTATTATATCCATTAAAATTGTTTCAAATTGACAAATTGAATTTTTTACCTTTCGAGATCTTACACTTACACCTAGTTGATTTTTTTTAATTTATAGCTAAACAAAATGTTTCTGATGAGATTTTTTCAATGTTTTTTATGAGTTTATTATTTCGTTGTCCTGTTTTGAGTCTGGTAAAACATGAGCAGTGTAATCCGAACTCAACACGGCTGTCGAAGGGTGGAAACAAACCCAAACTCTGGACTGCTCTGCACCAGTGCGCTTTCTTGGGGGCTTCAGAGGAAACCATCAAAGCATTTGTGAAACTGGGAACCTTCAAGTAAAACAACGTAAAACTAGCACCGAGGAACTTCAATAACTAACTTACGTGATTGCCTTTTCCTTTTTATCAGTAAAAGGTGAAATTAATCGAATCTTAAAAGATGTTACGGATTTAGATTTTCAGACAAACATAGTTTAATCATATTTTAAAAATTTTTGTGAAGTTCGTGTGAAGTTTGTGAAATTTTCAAATAGGACATTTTTCTCATTCAAAAAATGGAGTTTTTGAGTTATTCTCTGATACATGATGTTCTTACAATTGTTTTTTTTTCCGTTCTATTTTTTATTTCTAGTTTCCAACGTATAGATCTCTCAAGAATTCAGATGGACAGACTGCGTATGACATTGCAGTGAGTAAAAACAGACCAGAGGAGATTCTAGCAGCACTGAAGCTGCCTGCTGACGTCATCGAAAATAAGGAGGCAATTGAGAAGATGGAAGCAAAACTACATGAGCACATTCTGTCAAGGGTTGAAACACTAATCAAGGAAAACAATCAGGCACTTCCACAGGTAATTATCTGAGGATGAGATAATTTGTCCGCGTGAGTTTTTCCAGAGGGAAGGGGTAGCGGATTTTTTAAAAAAATGTCTACATTATTGACCTTAAAAATAATGTCGACAATTTTTTTTTGAATCCTCTACCCCTTCCCTCTGGAAAAACTCACGCGGACAAATTATCTCATTATGCTAATTTTCTGAGCTCTCCGAAATCACGATAAAGAGGTTATTATGATGACCAAATTTTCAGCGCGTTGGTGAATTTTTTAGAAAACGGGCAAAAGGGAAGTTTTTTTCGGTGCGCGTTCCTCCTTCAAATTAGTATATACCTGCGCCAAATACGCCTTTAGAAAGTTTGTACGGTCGGTCTGGAAAAAACGGATAAAACAGGTAGAATTCTTGGGAGGGGGAGAGAAAGCGTCCACCCTATCCCCTAAATCCCCCGCCATAAATACGATTCACTTCCTGCTTGACAACTTTTTTTCAAGCTGTAAATGTTATCAAAACAAGATCACTTAATTTTTTGTAAATTTCCTGTACCACTATTTTGTGGTAGGGTATGTCTAAGGAACCAGAACTGAACTTGGGTTATTTTTACGTCCTGGCCATCCAAAGGGTCCCCTTTAGTACTAACCATTTAATTTTGACGTGATCTGTTAAGCTCATTGTGGTTTGTCTATACTAGCTTATAGCATGCGCCGCAACTTTTTTTTGTTGTTGTGAACCTTTAAAAAGTTTCATAAATTGTCATTTTTGGTGTGATATTTTATGTGCTTATCTACGGCTCAGAACGTATCGACAAAATATGATTATTATAGCGTTTTACAGGAGCTCCGAAAATCAATTTGGTCGGCCTACAGAAAAGGTTGACAAAAATCGATTTTGTAGGCTTCGCTTGCGATTAGCAAGTGTTATCAATTGGGAGCATAGACTTTTTTGGGTTCACAACTTGTATAACAGAATCAATTCAATCAATCGATAGATTGGCTGGTCACAAATCCAAATTGTTTAGGTTATCTAGCACTTTGGGTTCAGAGGTAACAACTATGCCTCGGGTGGTAAAAGTCATGGGTTCGAATCTGACTAGGACCTATTGTTTTTTGCAAACGTGAAACACTCCTCTAAAATAAAAATTCGTAATTTTTTTGACTGCTTAAAATGTCGGCTTGGTGGTCACACGACGGATTTTTTTTGTGCTGCAAGCACTTTTTATTGAAATTTGAAGTGCTTTTACTTGTTTCCTGTTAATTGAAAAATCACTAAATCATGTTTTGTGGCATTTCTTTTGGCTTAATAGTTTATTTCGCCTCAAACGTTACGGCTTATGTTTATTGATCTAACTTCGACAGAGAAAGTAGATTTGATTTGTTTGTATGTTTCCGGAAGGGGAGCGTAAAATTTTAGAGTTCAGATCTGTCAAAGTTTTTATGACAACAACTCTGTTTCCTTCCAGTTAGGATGAGTTTTGTGTTGCAGATAAGTCCTCTCTGGGAGATGGAGGAACCCTCACTCTACTACTCTGTTCCGGGAATGTACGGAGGATTCTGTCTCACTCGAGACCAGGAGAAAAGGTGAAGTGATTGAATTAAACATAGAAGCATTTGCAGCACTTTGTAAAATACAACAAGTCTGCTTGTATCAGAGCAAACGCCTGAATGCCTCGTTTGCCTTTTAACTTACCTCAAGTAATTTTTGGTAAAAAGCTGAAAATTTCCAAAAGTTCTCGAAAATTTTTCTACCCACGCTACGAAAAAAACTAACTAGCAGTCGTTCTATGTTTCATTATGCAGACCAGTATTTTCTACAAGTTGTATGATATACCACAAATATACTACAAAACCGATAATTTGCGACTTTTTTTTGTGAGACAAGGATTTTTTTCATTGAATACTGCAATTTAGATTGATCTTAAGGGCGGATCAAGTCCAACATCAAAGATTTTTTGGTAAGAATTAGAGATTTTCCGGTAAAAAACAATCGAGCAGCAAAATCAACCTAAACAATTGTAAGCGATTGCTGTGATTGACAGTGTATGCAACGTAATTATTTGTATCTAATTTTTCTACACAAGATCCTAACTTCGGTACGAATTCAGGTTAAAGCTCAAAAGTACTTAATGTAAGAGTACTTAAGAAGCGAAGCTCAGCAAATGTTGAATAGTTTTGCCAAGTTTCCATTTATTTTTGGGTGTTTTCTGCCATACGGCCCAAAGCATGTTGTAAACTCATCTTATATTTTGAAAAAAAAAAGTTTTTTTTTGCTGGACCTATTTTCAACTTCTCATATTAGAGAATTATGATCCCATTTTCAAAAACAGAAAGATCAGTTTTGGTCCCTAATTTCGAAAGATCCAATTTTTCCCCAAATCAGCGCGAAATTTGTTAAAAATGATCTTCTGTTTTTCAGGTACCTCCGAACCGAGGATGTAAATCAAATTGTTGGTTATTGTTTGTTATGATGTTAACTAAATTGTTTGTTTTTTCAATAGACTAGTCAGCGAGAGTTGGTCTCGAGTGTGTGGAGGATCTGAACAAGAAATAGTCATAGACCATGACGGGAATGTGATAGACTGTAATGCAGAGGCGGATCTAGGGTTTTCTTGAGGATGGAGCGGATTTTCAAAAATGTTCAAAAAATTGTGTCGATCTTTTTTTTTTAGGTCTACCAAACTGCTTTTACGAGCTCTCCCAAAGCATACAAAAGACTCTGTTTTGGTAAAATATTGTGCGCCGCAGGCAAAATTTTGAAAAAAAAAACATGGCAAAAAGGCATTTTTTGGAAAATTTTGACCAAAAAATCGCGCTTTTTCGGCGCCCCCCCCCCTCAAATTTAGTACATATTGTCGCCGAAGGCGCCTTTAGAAATTTTTTAGGGTCCGTCACCGAATATGGATATCTCAACATAGTACAAAGGGGGCCCTTATTATGCAGACCAGTATTTTCTACAAGTTGTATGATATACCACAAATATACTACAAAACCGATAATTTGCGACTTTTTTTTGTGAGACAAGGATTTTTTTCATTGAATACTGCAATTTAGATTGATCTTAAGGGCGGATCAAGTCCAACATCAAAGATTTTTTGGTAAGAATTAGAGATTTTCCGGTAAAAAACAATCGAGCAGCAAAATCAACCTAAACAATTGTAAGCGATTGCTGTGATTGACAGTGTATGCAACGTAATTATTTGTATCTAATTTTTCTACACAAGATCCTAACTTCGGTACGAATTCAGGTTAAAGCTCAAAAGTACTTAATGTAAGAGTACTTAAGAAGCGAAGCTCAGCAAATGTTGAATAGTTTTGCCAAGTTTCCATTTATTTTTGGGTGTTTTCTGCCATACGGCCCAAAGCATGTTGTAAACTCATCTTATATTTTGAAAAAAAAAAGTTTTTTTTTGCTGGACCTATTTTCAACTTCTCATATTAGAGAATTATGATCCCATTTTCAAAAACAGAAAGATCAGTTTTGGTCCCTAATTTCGAAAGATCCAATTTTTCCCCAAATCAGCGCGAAATTTGTTAAAAATGATCTTCTGTTTTTCAGGTACCTCCGAACCGAGGATGTAAATCAAATTGTTGGTTATTGTTTGTTATGATGTTAACTAAATTGTTTGTTTTTTCAATAGACTAGTCAGCGAGAGTTGGTCTCGAGTGTGTGGAGGATCTGAACAAGAAATAGTCATAGACCATGACGGGAATGTGATAGACTGTAATGCAGAGGCGGATCTAGGGTTTTCTTGAGGATGGAGCGGATTTTCAAAAATGTTCAAAAAATTGTGTCGATCTTTTTTTTTTAGGTCTACCAAACTGCTTTTACGAGCTCTCCCAAAGCATACAAAAGACTCTGTTTTGGTAAAATATTGTGCGCCGCAGGCAAAATTTTGAAAAAAAAAACATGGCAAAAAGGCATTTTTTGGAAAATTTTGACCAAAAAATCGCGCTTTTTCGGCGCCCCCCCCCCCTCAAATTTAGTACATATTGTCGCCGAAGGCGCCTTTAGAAATTTTTTAGGGTCCGTCACCGAATATGGATATCTCAACATAGTACAAAGGGGGGCCCTTTGGGGTCGAATCCCTGAGGGGGGAGGCCCCCCTCCTCTATATCCGCCCCTGCCATAATGTATGACATCTATACCTAACTGACTCTCGAAGTTAATTAGAAAATGTATAAATTAGTTGAATATGATGTCCAAATAATGAGTTTTAATTGACATTAATCGTAATTTTAGTACGAATTCTAGTTTTGTTAGCACATTAAAAGCCGCAACAGATCGGGAGTCCTTATTCGATGTATCAGCAAACCGAAATAAATTAAACTAGATCAATTAACCGAAATTGATAGAAGTTGCATCGTTGAATTACGTAATCACATGAAATGAAGACTCAGATTTGTCCTGTTTGATATTTATTTGTTTTGCAGAACAAGAATTGGAAAAAAAAATTGAAACTAATATCCCGTTGTGTGTCATGAGCCTATGTTAAGTCAATTCTATGAATCTTCACAACCGTAATTGAAGTAATTTTCAGTTAATTCGATTTGCAGGTTTCATTAACTACTGAGACTTGGTTTGCTGGGTCTTTTCTGGTTTGCAACCTAAACTTATCGATTTATTAATTGAGTTTCTGTTTTTATTGAAGTTTTTCCATTGGAAGTAATTTCAACCAATCAAATTTAACATTTTTATCTAATTTTCAAAAAAAGTACAACAAATCAGTTCTGAGCCGTACAGCAGAAAAGACCCGGTTTACTGAACGCAACTCGATGACTGGGTATCATGAACCTTAAATAAATACCATTCCTCTGATTGGTCCCCTAAATCTTTTGTCCCTCTATGGCAACAGCCAAGGCAAATTTGAACATTTTTTATCCATTTTTAGGCTTTAGCTTATTTCTACAGTTCCGACGATTTTGTTTTTTCTAGACGTAACTTGAAAACTGTGATTTTAATGCAAAAACCAGTTTCTAAAATGGGCGCATCAGAAAACTATCAAAATCAATGAGAATCTATAATATCAAGACAGAACAATCCCACAAAGCAGTCGACAAAAAACATCAATCACTATGTCAAAATTGTTATAATATTTTGCTGTTTTGCCACTATTGCGTTTAAAAATGTAGAATTGGTGATTCTACTGTATTACATGCTATAGTAACCTGAGCGTAAGATTGATTCGTCATTAAGTTAAGTAGTATAGTAAACAATTAGTTAAGTTGCAAAATCAACCAAAACAAACAGACTAAGCAGGAATTTCAAACGTTACCGATTTTGAAAACCCCCCCGCAAATGGAAACTACCGGGGCTAGCTTTATGAAACTCAAAGGACGGATACTAGAGATGATTTGACCCGGGCATGCAAAAATCCAGACCCTTGGGGGGCAAGTGATAACGGTCTAGTTAAGGCCTAGTTAAGGGAAGCTTAAGTTTAGAATCCCAGACTCCTAGGAACCCCATTTCGGGTTTTATGCTCCAAGTAAACAAACCCACCCCTAACTTTCGGAAGTCGTTTCTCGGCCTCCAATGATCACAGGGAGCTGAAACTTGGAGGGATGATAGGTAGTGGCAAGGCACATCTTGTATTATAATTGGAACCAAATCCGGCGGTTGGATCGGAAGCTATTAGCACTTGAAAAAACACCCCTAGACCGGAAATAAGCACTTTACGCGAAACGATGAACGGTTGCATAATGATTTTATTGCGGCAATGGACCTACGATACGAACCCTGAAAAAAGACCCCTCATGAGTGAAAAGCCTCCGGCGACTCCTTTCGGTGTTAATAGCCTTTTCCCGGAGAAAGTAATAATGGACCTTAGAAATAGTATAACTAGTGAAGTATCAATGGAATATGAATGGAACTTGGTATTTAGGACCCCCGTGGGGTTCTGAACCCAAATATAGAAGGTTGACACCTGGGTGACCTTAAGTTGACCTTTGGGCGTTTTGACCCCAAAATTGCATGGAAAACCTCGAGATTAACACCGGAAAGTGGCGTAATCCCCAGCCCAACCCCTGGAAACCTTGCTAAAAGCTGGGAGGAAAACTTATATATTGGGAACTAGAGCAGAAGCTGATAGAGGTAAATCTTTTACATTGCAACCTTGGAGTAGTAGAGTTAATTCAAAGTGGACTTGGTAAACTTTGGGTTCAGTTTAGCTTGGTGAGTGATCTATTAATAGCCATTCAACTAGACTAAAGAAACCTAGTTCCAGAGCAATCTGATGGTAATAGGACCTAAGCATGGGAATTGAGTCTCCTAAATAGTATGAACGGACAGGGAATTCACTTGGCTTCCCGGAGTTGACATTTGGTTTAAGTTGACCCCTAACAGACAGACTACGTTCCCCTGATAGCTAGAATGTCAGGACTGGAATAGTACAGATCAAAATTTTAGATGCTGGGAAGGAATTAGCTACCCATGAAAAGGGTCTCCACCAAACCTTAGGAGGTCGGAACATTAACGGGATAATTAAAATAAAGACCTTAGAAGGATCACTGAGTAAAAATAGCATGGTTTGGAAGTTGAGTTGAACTCGAGGGCTGAAGTCACTGAGGTCAGGAATTTGCTGATTAGAATCGTATGACATTTGTTTGCTTGGTCCAATTGTGACACCTACCGCATACCGGGTATCTAGTAAGTGTGAAAAGATTGATAAAAGAAACCGAAGTTGGCACGTGGCAGAGTTGACAGGGGGAGGGATATAGTCTTAAACATGTGCGGAGGGGTGATTTAAGCGGATGTCAGGACTGATCGGGAATGGCGTGACTTAACTAAAACTAAGTGTAAAGAAAAATAAAGAATTGGAGGGTACCGGAGAGCCTGTAAGAGTCAGAACAGTGCTAGCTACCATTAAGAGTAGTTGGTTTTCGTCAGAGAAGAGAACAGTTGTTGGCTACTATTAAGAGTAGTTGGTTCTCAGTCACAGTAGAGAACAAGTTTTGCTAGTGAGCGAGTTGCGCTGGAACCCGAGTTTAGTACTGGGTTGAACTCTTTGTGCGAGCGAGTTGCGTTTCAACACGAGTTTAGTACCGGGTTGAGTTAATATTGTGAGCGAGTTGCGCTGCTGGAGTAGGCGAGTTTAGAATTGCGTCAAGCGAAAATTGACGAGCGAGATAACGAAGCGATTAAACGGAACGAAACGCGGGCTTCGTTATAGAAGTTGCTAAATAGTAGTAGTTAGCTCATTAAGGGCACTGTAAATTGCTTTTTCTTCCTTTGCGATTGAGAATTTACTTATTGTGCCCACAAAATGCTGAACTAGCTAGAAGCCTAAGAGGAGAGCCGAAAAGGGCCTAAATTAAGGGGGAAGTTGCGTATTCCTTTGATCGGCCGATTTAGTCTGACCACCAACATAACCCTTTCGGGATTGTAGATAATACCGTGTCCTAGTGTCCCCCGCTATTACAAAGTATAAAGGAGAGAAACTCTGCGGCCGTTAAGTAGAAGGAAAGCTTGCTTAGAGGAGAGGACTCCCCGGAAGAAGTCTACAAAAAACCTGCAGTTTCAAGCAGTGAGTTACAAATTAGAATGTCAATAGGTTGAGTCCTTGGTGTTCCCATAACTCTTTTTTTAGCCAATTTTTGACTGCTTCCGTGTGATTTGCAGGTTTCATAGTTCATAGGGGCAAATGACTTATGAGACTGAAACACTTTTAGTTGTAATTTAGACGTGTCGAGA